TGTGAGAAAGCAGAAATCAAACCAGACCTTTTGACAGCTGAGATGGGGGAAACTTTTGTAAAATGATGAATCATTCTTGTTGTTTTTTTCCAGATTACAGCAGCATTTCTGATTTGATAAATCACATGAAAAACACTTTTGTGTCGCCACCAGTTCCACAAGACCAGGTAAACATGAGACAATAGATACAAAGTTCAACTGTATTGTGTTTGTATTCATTCTCACTGATCATTTAAGGATGACGATTAAGGAGTCTAAGCAATAGACCTACTCTATTACTGTATTAGATTTTGACCGGATATAGTCTACATTTGGTATCAGTGGGTCTGGCATTACAGGAGGGTAATAACTTGTGAAAAATTTATTTTTGTACATGGAAAGTTAAATTTTGAATATTGTCTCTTAAAACAGCCTCAACAATTAAAAAAAGTAAAGTGAATCTCTAAATGCTTTTTTATTTAAGGTGTCCATTGATAATATATTCTGATTTCTTATAGACTTTAACTTTTGACTATTATTATACGACTGATTAATTTTCTCTTGCTATTTAGACATCACAACACACCTAAAATAAACAAGAACTAAAGCTTTGGACAGACACGCACAGATACGTCATGACCCATTGATTATGACACACATCCTGTGTGGATATGCAGCTTTTTTTTTTTTTTTTTTTTAATAAAAGAATGTGAATGCTGCTTTATCATTTTCCCAGTATATCTGATGCTCTATACCAGGGATTGACTCAGTGACTCAGAATTAAAGACTGACATCATCTTTGAGATTGCCAAAAAACTATTCTAAGTTTAAACTTTTATAATAACCTGTCATCATTATTTATTTATTTTCGTGATGGAAGTGTGAATAGGTATTTCAAAAATTTTGTATTTAAATTAGTTTATTTATTTATAGACTGGTGGATGGTATTTGTCGACCCAATCTGGCAACACAGGCGCTTTTTTATAATTGTCTTGCTTGACTGCCCTAGTCAGTTTTATTTGAAATTGTGCCCAGGAGATTTTTCTGAATTTTGCTTTCTCTGTTATATAAACGTGTTAAGGGTTTTTATAACGACATGAGGGTGAGTAGCCTGATTCTGAATTATGACAAATTACATTTCTGCATAAACTGTAAACAACTTATAAAACACTGCAAAGAACGTCACGTCATAATGAATTTATTTTAAAGGACATGGTCGTTTAAGCTACTTGATGTATAACTATATAATTTTGTGACAGAACTTCTAACAATTTAATTCATAGATTCACACCTGCTACTGACTTTATCTAACAAAGTTGTTTGGAGCCATTCTTGGCGCAAGCATGAAATTCATTAACACTCACTCAGTAACTCAAAATATTCAGTAACTCTCTAAATTCTTTTGTGGGAAAGAAAGTAAATTCAAATTTGATTTTTTAGCGTTTTCGAAAGCCTGGTCCTGAAGAGATCCTTACCTCTGATAGAGATGATGGAGCACCAGATGGCGCGATCGTCACAGAAAATGAGCCCCATGCTATCCTGACGACGTTACTTGGTGGGTAAAAGTGGACTTTACAGGCTTTCGTAATCATGAATTATCATTACAAATCATAACAAACGTACTTTATCATTATTGTAACCGTAACAGATCTTTGATAGTGTTGTTGAATTGCTTAGAACTAGTTAATCTTCTCAAAAGTTTGTGTCGTGAATCTATAAGAGTACTTGTGGATACATTGCTTCAGATGATGAGACAGTTCAGAGCCCTGGGCCACCACAGTAGAGTGAAATTTAAATCAGTAAATATGATATGATATGATAAGATAAGATATGATGTGAGAACTGTTGCAACTTGCAAATGTGTCCTGGGGTTTTGAGTGGTTACTCTTGACGTGACAAGCTGCATAAGGCAGATGACTTTTTGCTGTAGAGCTATAATTTAAAGATGTCAGCAGTGTGGGAGTTGTGTGTGTGTGTGTGTGTGTGGTGAAAAAGAGGACTTCGGGATTGCATTTAGCAGTTCCCCTATTTTCTGCAGTTATTTTTTTTTTCAATACAATTAGCTGACCAATGTATTTGTTTGCTTTTTGTTTTTGAAAGGAGTCCCATAAAAGCCATATTGGTTTGGTTGTATGGGACTCCAAATATAAAGTTTTTGTCTGTATCTGAAAAAAAAAACACAATTGTGAGTTATAATAAATACATGTTGATAATACACAAGCAGTCTTTCAGTGATGCTTATGGGGTGTTGCTCTAGAAAGGGTTAGTAAAAAGCAGAGAAAAATCATTATACTCACTACAAACATTAACATTGGCCACACCCTTTGAGACAAACTTATAATTATGTAGCTTTGCTGTCCTAAATGATTTAGTTGAAAATAACAAAGAGGACCTTTAAACTTGGCCACCATATCTAGATCAGTCTGCTTCTTAAATATCTTTACAGTGATTTTTATGTGACTTTAATCAGATCTTCCCAAAATCCTCCTTAATTGCTTTATGATACAACAGTAAAAAAAAGTTTATTATATATAACATTATATATAATGCTTTGTGCAATAGACTTTGTGTTTAATTATTTATTGCCCAATTACATAACACTGTAGATTTTTCTGGTCTGGAGGTCTGTACAGCTCTACAAATGCAAATTTCTTATCTACGCAAACACTGAAACTAAACAAAATGCCTCTAAAGTTTTTACACTAGCTGTAGAGATTTGTAGATACTGCAATTTTCACACTCTTGTTTTTTTTTTTTTTTTTTTTGAGACGGGACAAAGTTAAACAAGGAGACTTTGCCACCAGACAGAACACACTGTATGCAAGCCTATATGCTTTAACTCAATTTTGATCAAATGTGTTGGCACTTGGTCTTTGTATGTCAAAGCTAGTCAGACCTCAGCAAGGTTACATTTATTAAAAAACATAGAGTAATAATATGAAATAATATTAACATTTTAAAGTAGCCTAATTAAAAATATACACTACCGGTCAGAAGTTTGGGGTCAGTAGGGTTTTTAATTGTTTCATGTTTTATTTATTTAAAGAAAATTATTCTGTTTATTAAGGTGGCATTTATTAAATTACCATTAGTTTATTTAATTACCATTCACAATGATTATATTGATAATAATTACAATAATGATAATTATAAGAGTGATTTCTGAAGGATCATGTGACTCTGAAGACTGGAGTAATAAAGCTGAAAATTAATCTTTAAAATCACTAAACTACTATAATCAATAAACTACTTTTTAACAGTTTTTTTTATAGTGCAACAACATTTCACAATTTTACAATTTGTACTGTGTTTTCGATCAAATAAATGCAGCCTTGGTGAGCAGGATAAGCTTATTTTAAAACATTTAAAAACCTACAGACCCCAAACTTTTGACTGGGAATGTATATATTAAAATAATGCATTTCTGTAATGGTGCATCAGTTAAGCAGCCAGTTTAGGAGTCATTCTAATATATTGGTTTAGTGCTCAAGAAATAGTACCTTAATAATAATATCCTTATTAATTTGTGTAAACCATATGTTTTTTTTTTCATAATGATTAGATGAATAAAAGAACAACATTTAGCTGTTGAGGAAGTTTTTGTAACGATGTTTCAATTTTATTGTCCTCTCATAAGTTAATTATTTGATTGTTTTCTTCTTAATAACTCATCCTCATTTGCGAAACATTTTAACTGATGAACAATTAGCAATAAGCTAAAAATGCCCAAAGTAGTGTCCGCAGGCCAAAATTGGCCCATTGTAACCTTTTATTTGGCTCACAATCCCACCTGAGGAGAGCGAGTATGATGGAGAGGGTTGAGAAAACTCTGTGCTGTCTTTAACACAGAGATCATCATTTCTAATTTAATGTAACTTTTTTGTTTGTTTTATTGCTGAGCTACAAAAAAAAAATAAAAATGAAATCAAATGTTTCAATTAAATGTTGAATCTGAATTATATAAAATGTAAATACTGTCACTCGACGGATAAAGGACTATGCGAAGACATGAGCATATCAAGGCAAAAACTACTGTAATTCTGTTATAAATGAGATTATTTAGTTTTTTACTGTAAGAAATTAAAAATGTTTATTTACATTATAAAATGTGAAAAATAAAATACTGTATTAGACAATATAAAGTATGATTTTTAGACATTTGTAAAAATTCATTTTTTTTTTTCGCCTTTGTCCCTTTATTAACCAGGTGTCGCCACAGCAGAATTAACCGCCAACTTATCCAGCATAAGTTTTACGCAGCGGATCCCCTTCCAGCCGCAACACAACATTGGGAAACACCCATACACACTCTTTCACACACATACACTATGCCAGTTTAGCTTATTCAATTCCCCTATAACGCATGCCTTTGGGGGAAACCAGAGCATCCAGAGGAAATCCATACTAACACAGGGAGAACATGCAAACTCCACACAGAAATGCCAACTGGCCCAGCTGGGGCTTGAACCGGCGACCTTCTTGCTGTGAGGCGATTATGCTACCCACTGTGCCACCATGATGCCCTCATTTGTAAACATTATTAAATTAGGAAATTACCATGTCTTGTTCAAGGTTGGCTCTTGGCATTTCATAAGAAAAAAGTTTGGTCCCCTGAGCTGAAGTAACCGTTATTTACTTTATCTGACCACCAGTAGTTCCGTTAGATGCTGAATGACTCCGCCTGTTGCAGAGGGAAGTGAGAGCTGCACGGGTTTAGGGCACTTTTATCACAATAACAACCCAAAAAGACTGAAATACAACTCGGCGAAAATACATTTGATTGGAATTATACCGAAGTCAAAACTTGTCCTTTGCTAATTGACATCTGCAGCGCGTTATATATTAACAGTTTAGGAGTAGGAAGCTCCCGCATAAACCGTATAATCTGATGCATGTGTTTCGGGTCTCGTGTCACTTCGACCCGCCCGGTCTGGGATTGCTATTCTTTGTCATGAAGTAATATATTAACCTGGGAAAGTTTAGCAGCAGCTTTAACATAAGCGTGAGGCGGACGACTTTTTAGTCTCTGTGGAGGGACGGACTTGGCCGCGTGTTCAGGAATCCACTCGTTGAGTGTCCAAGTACACACTTGGATTCATTGAAGAGATGGGGAAAATGAAGGGTAACTGTTTTTATGCATCAGTTGCTATTATTTTATGTTGCAGTGTTTCTGTCTTCTCAATCGTTAAATTGTCTGCTGGACGTGTCTGTTTTTTTACATTTTGGCACAAATCGACTTTTTATGCAACGTTTTCAATGTATACAACTGTTGTGAGGGTCAATGTTAAGGTTTAAACTATTTCTACGACGCGCACATGTCACGTTTTTAATAATGTCAACAGCAAAATTTGATGTACTGCAAAATAAGCGATGAGTTCGACAAGATTGTAAACTGTGGCGCCTGTGGGAAAAACAATGTTGTTGAGTTCCTTACAGACTTGCGTGCAGTGAGGCAGGGGCTTTTCAACCAACTGCCTAAACAAATATAGTTGCGCTGCTGGTTTCTGTTGGCTAGAGTGAAGCTGGCTGTAGACACAGATATAGTGATGAATTATGGTCGACAATATTGAGTTTATATTGAAATTTACCGAATTCCAAAATAAACTTTTGTATTAACTAATTCTCTCTTATTGTCTCATTTTAACTGTTTTAGACAAAGATGTTGATGCAGAGAAATATGAAAAAGCACAGCGCTCACCGGTGAGTTCAACTTTTTTTATTGGAAAGTGCAATAAACGTTGTGAAATATGGGGTATTTGCTAAAGACAGAACAGTTAGGCCCGGAGTAGAATATTGTGAATGTTCAAATGTTAGATGACATAAAGTAAGGCTATAATTTTATGGTGTAAACAGAGTATATATATATAAAAAAAAATTGTTGTTATTATTATTTTTTTTAATTAAAAATATATAACCGATTACTCAAGATTGATTTATTATTATTTATTGAAATCAGTTTGTGATTTTATGTAAGAATTTTCATATTAATGAATAAATGCCAATAAAATGTTAGAATAAATGTAAGAATAAAATGCCAGTTTTAAAATAATATTGGACATTGCATTGTTTTCATTTCAGATAATATTTAGCTTTCATAGTTTAAGGCATTTTATAGGTATATGTTTATATTAATAAGAATTATATTAAGATTACGATCTTACATAATTGTATGCATATAGAAATATATATGCATTCACATTTGTCTTTTTTCTGATAATAGTTTAATTAAATTATTGTAAATTGTAAACAATGTTTTAAATTAACAATTGCTTGTTGTTGTTTTAATTACCGGCTTTAGTTCACCATGATATGTAAAACATACATTTCTCCTCTTGACCTAATTGTTGTTATAAAATATAGCTGATGTTATATGACACACAGTATTACAGAAACAAAGCATTTGACCATTTTGTCACTTGTGGAATCTTTGTCCTGAGTACTTGTAAATGTATGACTTGTAGTACCTTTTAAAACTAACATTTGTATTGAATGGGGAAAAAAATGATTATTTCAACAAAAACTGTACATGTCTATTTGTTTTTTTTTGTGCACAGAAATTATGTGGGACTAACTACCCAGTTAGCATTGCCTTCATTGTGGTCAATGAGTTCTGTGAAAGATTCTCTTACTATGGAATGAAAGGTAATGAAAAAGGCATTTAAAAGCATTATATACTGTATAAACTTGTATGTGGTCTGAAATTGTCTTTTAGGTTAAAGGTCGATCTTGATTTAGTGGAATGTCTGTCCTTTGCAGTTGATTTCCAGTTTTTAATTTTTATTTGTGTAATGCTAGCTGTATTATATTTTATGCCAAATAAACATACTTAAATGTAATACTAAGTGCATACATATAAAAAAAGAAAAACGCATTGTTCCATGACTTTAATACAAAATTAAATTGCAAAATTAATATTTTTCATTTTTTTACAGTGTATCTGAACTTTGTTACTTATGATGAGAGAATTCAGTTGCATTTTATTGACCAGTTGTTGATCTGTGTAATCTGACATGAGTCTGTTAATGTTGTATTAATATATGGATCTTCTTTTTTTAAGCGGTGCTGACGCTTTACTTCATGAACTACCTGCATTGGGACAAGAATCTGTCTACAGCTATTTACCATGCATTCTCGGGCCTGTGTTACTTCACTCCACTTCTGGGGGCCTTGATAGCAGACTCATGGTTGGGGAAGTTCAAGTAAGTATTGTTCTTAAAGGGGTAGCAAAAAAAAGAAAATTCTGTCATAATTTATTCCCATTTTACTTGTTCGAAAACTTTTTTTTTCTCTGTTGAACACAAAAGAAGATATTTTGAATGGTGGAAACCTGTAACAATTCACATGCATAGTAGTAAAAACAAATAGTGTAAAAATCAGTGGTTAAATGTTTCCAGCTTGCTTCCAAATATTTTCTTTTTTATTCCTAATCTGTTTTTGAAAGAGTTAGTTAAAGATGATAGGTAATTAACTATCCCTTTAAAAGGAAAAATATGAGAAGACTGATGCTTTATTTATTTATTTATTTATTTATTTATTTATTTTATTTTTTTACTTTATTTTTATTTTTTTGCAGAACCATCATCTATCTATCTATTGTGTATGTGATTGGCCATGTGGTCAAGTCTGTCGGGGCCATTCCTGATGTGGGGGACAGCACTGTTCATATGTAAGCTTCTTTTGATGCTAGTTAAGGTGTGCATTACGGTAGCTTGATACTGTGAGGTTTTATAGTAAATGTATTTCAAGTGAAAAATATTTCCATTTTAGAAATGCAATAGGGTAAATACACACAGACTTTTAATTCCAGTCAGCCAGCCAGCCAGCCCCAGGGTTCCGGTTGGATTGTCATCCCATACAAAATCTGATTTTTAAAAAACAAAAAAGTGGGTATCAGACCAAACAAGAAGCACTGCATTAAATTCTATTTTTCCACACCATGTCTTTAAAATATGAAAATTAATTATTATTATTAATTAATTTTACCCCAGTATTTTCAATTGATTTTCAATTTTAGCTCCAACCCTAATCAAACACACCTGAACTAGCTAATCAAGTTCTTACTAGGTGTACTTGAAACATCCAGGCAGGTGTGTTGAGGCAAGTTGGAGCTAAACCCTGCAGGGACACCGGCCCTCCAGGATCGAGATTGATGACCCCTGCATTACAACATCCGTGTAGTAAAAGGAACTGTATGAAACCGAAAATAGTCACATAAACCATTACCAGAAGTTCATCATTGGCTGAAAAACACTAGCTGTCTATATAGCCCATTGGGCAGATACATGCTTTTTTGTTGTTTCCTCATAGAGCTCTGTCAATGGTTGGTCTGGGCCTCATAGCATTAGGGACAGGAGGGATCAAACCCTGCGTTGCAGCTTTTGGTGGTGACCAGTTTGATGAAGACAATGTAAGTCAATACAATTCATTCAGTCAATTGCAATGGCAGGGTTTACACATGTAAAATGCTGAATATTTTATTTTAATTCTGTATCTTAAAAAATTAAGTGTAAGTTCCCCTGAATGAAAATATACTCGCGCTCATATTATTCCAAACCTATAAGTTTTCTTATGCTGAACATAAAGAAGATATATTGAAGAATGTGGGTGACCAAACAGTTTATATGTGCTACGCACTGAACTCCATAGTTGGAAAGCTCCGTGGAAGTCAGTAGGTATAGTAAACTGTCGGGTTACCAATATTTTTTTCCAAAACATCATCTCTTGTATGCAAAGGAAAACTAAACACTCAAGTGCAGGGTGAGTAAATGATTTGCATTTTTAGATAAACTGTTGCTGTAAAGTAATTTATTTACAGCAGAGCACAGTAAAACCAGCAAATTGCTGTACAACTGAAATGCATATTCACAGAAAAGGAAAACAAGATGTTACACAATTTTCTAATTTGTATTACATCTAAAAGAGTGGATACTATTTAGATATAATTGGTTTCAGATACAGTTGAGGCTAATATACACATACCTTTGGAATTTAACAATTCCTTTAACATATCTAACGGTAACACTTATTTTGATGGTCCATTTGAGTAATAGTAGACTGTCTGCTGAATATCTGTTTATACAGACATTCAACAGACATTTAACTGACTATAAGAAACTTTGCAAGTACATGTCAACTTACACTTACCCTAACCTCAACCTAACAGTTTACTTATAATCTAATGGGAATTAGTTGGCATGTAGACACAATGTAACTTTAATTAAACAAACAGACCATCAAAATAAAGTGTGACCTATCTAACTTCTTTATTTTGCTCTTTCTTATTCAGATAGACGAGCGGAGAAAATTCTTCTCCATCTTTTACATGTCAATCAACGCTGGAAGTGTCTTATCCACTATTATCACACCAATACTAAGAGGTCAGTCTCAAGACAAAGCTACAATCACTTCTTTAAAGCAATGGAAGTTTATGGCAGTCATAAAGTGTCATTATCATGTCAATTACATGATTAAATGCATTGTTTATAGGTGATGTGCAGTGTTTTGGAGGAGACTGCTACGCCCTGGCCTTTGGAGTTCCTGCAGCTTTAATGGTCATCGCCTTAGGTGAGGGTCTTTAGTTTTCTGAGAATTTTACGTTGAAGGATAGAAGGAATTTTGAAATACTCTGAAATTCCTCATGGATTGTGTTTGTGAAACCAGCTGTCCTCAGTAAGCATGTATGTTTAGCACACTCATAGCCATTTATTCAGAAATCCCAGTATGTTATCATAGCACATTAGCGAATGTCATTCACTGTACCATGAATGCTGTGTGAAAAGTGGAATGTGGAAACTAGATGGGACATGCTCATACAATAGCTCTAAAATTATTTAAATACATTTTAACAAAGTTAAAGGCAGAATAATTAGTTCTCTGATACAATTGTATTTCTTTTTCAATTAGTTCCAAAGTGCGGTTTAACGGAGAAAATTTTGTCAGGATAGATCCAATCTGTAGTTTTATTGACTCATTTCTTTTGTCTTTACCATGATAATATTTACTAGTTATTTTGTAAGATACTAATATTGAACTTTAAGTGCAATTTAAAGCTTAACTAGGTTAATTTAGTCAACAAATTAGGTTTAGGCAAGTCACTGAACGACAATGACTATGTTTACATGGACATCAGTAATCAAATTATTTGCCTTAATCTGAATAAGGCAATATTATGATTATGATGCTTACATGAGTTGCTTTTTGAATGTTCCTTTCATGATCCCGTTTTCCATGTTATAGCACATAGATCGATTATCATCATTGCATCACTATGCTATCCACATGTCCTCTGGAGTTTCATCTAATTTCGTTTCGTTTTAAGTTTGTCGACTTAAACAGCAGTTTTGCACTATAACTTTAATTCAGGAACATTTCATGCGTGCCCCTGTGACAAATGAGATCTCGAAGTATAAACTGCTGAAAGAGTGTTGTTTTAATGGAATTTCATACCGCATGCTTAATGGGAGAAAAAAACCCTCTGCATTTCGTTATGTATGTGTCTGTGGTCTTCACTGACTCTGTAGGTGCAAAGGATAGACGAATTACCAGTTTGTAAACATTCAGGATGCGTGCGTAACAAGGTTGCAGAAAAAAAATGGGAGTGCTTGCATTTACAGCAAGGGAATGACATCTGATGTGATACATAGTTTGTTGTTGTATTGGAGATGAGTTATATTAATTATATATATATATATATATATATATATATATATATATATATATATATATATATATATATATATATATATACACACACATAATTCTTTCAGCATATTATAGCGGCGCTGATATGAAATGAGAGCTGCTGAGTCGAGCATTATTAATTATGTTGGCACTCCATTCAGCTCCCTTTTAGCCAAAGACGTCTGCAGTTGGCATTAAAAGCAGTGTGATGTACTGTAAAAGTTACGTTTTCTATTTTTGGACTCGAATTTGGCATCCTACCGCACAACATGACATGTTTGCTATTTAAACCTGTCTTTTTTTTGCAACCGGGAACCCGTGTGATCAAATGTTGAATTAAAGTTACATTGCATCAACATGCCAACTATTCTCATTATATTATAAGTAGACTGTTGGGTTGGGGTTGGTGTTAGTGTAAGTTGACATGTACTTGCAAAGTTTTTATAGTCAGAAGGAGAAGTATTAGCAGATAATTAGCAGACAGTCTACTATTACTCAAATGGACCATCAAAATAAAGTGTTACCGTTAGATATGTTAGATAAATTAAATACTGCTTTTATTCTAGCCGAAATAAAACAGATAGGACTTTCTCCAAAAGAAAAAATATTATCAGGCATACTGTGAAAATTTCCCCTGTTCAACATTTGGGAAATATTTTAAAAAGAAATTTACATCAATTAAATTTGATTAATTTAATACAAGGAATTACCAACCTATGTCACACATGGATCACACGTGTTTCTTAAGGGGGCTGCTAACATTGACTTTTACTTATTTATTAAACACTCATTTTAATTTAGAAAAACTAAAAGAAATTAAACTTTTTTTTTTCCCCAGAAGACAAAATATTATAGAAAATACTGTGAAAAATTGAACATTACTTGGGAAGTATTTGAACTATTACAATTACACAGGTGGGATAATAATTCTGCCTTCAACTGTATATATTTTTATATATATATTTTTTTTAAGTCAGAATTATTAATCCTCCTTTGATATTTTTTTTTCTTTTTTTGAATATTTCCCAAATGATGTTTAACAGAGCTAGTAAATGTTCAAAGTATGTCTGACAATATTTTTTTTTCTAGAGAAAGTCTTATTTGTTTTATTTCGGCTAGAATAAAAGCAATTTTTAATAAAAAAAAATAAATAAATAAAAAACATTTTAAGGTCAAAATGATTAGCCCCGTTAAGCTATATATATTTTTAAGTCTACAGAACAAGCCATTTATATATAATAACTTGCCTAATTACCCTAACCTGCCTAGTTAACCTAATTAACCCAGTTAAGCCTTTAAATGTCACTTTAAGCTGTATAGAAGTGTTTCAAAAATATCTAGTAAAATAATATTTATTTTCATCATGGCAAAGATAAAATTAATCAGTTATTAGAAATTTGTTATTAAAAACTATTTTGTTTAGAAATGTGTTAAAAAAAATCCCTGTTAAACAGAAATTGGGGAAAAAATAAACTTGAGGGGCTTATAATAATAATCAGGGAGTTTAATATGTATAAATGTATATATGCTGTGAAATCAAAAATTAAGTAGTGGGTTTCTTATATAATTATATCCTATAATTTTGTAGACAGTGAATTTCCAGAGATTGTCAGTAAGGTTGAGTTTAGGACCCTGGGCTGGCCATTTCATTATTTTAAAGTATTTAGCTTCAAGGAACTGCTTTACCCATTTCGTAGTGTGATGGGCTTATTTGTCTTGCATGAAAATTGCTGACTGAGCAATGAAGGGGAAGAAGGTTTTGATACTTTTCATAAGCATTTGTGTTCATTTTGTGTCGTTCAAACTGCCAATTAAACAGGGTTTATTAGATAATAAGGGAATTTACAACCAGGGTCCTTTTTAAGTCTCTCATTTACATTTTATTTTTGGCGTACTTATGTGTACGCTAACATCTTCTCTTTTTTATCCAAATACGACTAAGCAGCAACCTCAAAATCTAGGAAGCTCAATAATTTTGATCCCTAAACAGTGTACATCTAACGGTCTGTATGGAACTTCTTGAGTTGTGTTAGTTGTTTACAAATATTGTGTCTGATTGCTTATGTTTCTCACTTATGATAAAAGCATCAGCTAAATGCCTGAAAGTAAATGCACTTAGCATCTATTCACTCATTTAGCTGTGAAAGGCATTTTAAAATGGAGAAATAATTTTTGCAAACGCATCATGGCTTTGTGTTGGTATGAAACAATATTTGATTATTAATGCACTCTGGGTAAGAGCATGCTACTTCTACATGAGTGCTAGGGCTCCTTTATCTAGCTCATTTAACTTATTATGTGTGTAATTAACTCTGCACCTGCTCATCTAGTGGTGTTTATTTCTGGAAGTGGCCTATACAAGAAAAGTCCTCCAGAAGGAAATGTCTTGGTGCGTGTCTGCAAATGTATCGGGGTATGTAAATCATGTCAACAGTTCAAAAGCTTTCTTTAATGTGTTACTGAAGGATCTGGAGCATGCCTAGAAGGCTAACGGTCTTATTTTGCTTTGTTTTCACCAGTTTGCTATAAGCAATCGATGGACGAATTCCAAAAAGAGCCCAAAACGGAGCCACTGGCTGGATTGGGCAGAGGAGAAGTACTCGGTACGTTTCAGTTGCTATACAAGCCAAATCTACCTAGTTTTAAACTTGTGTGTTTCTTCACTTACTCACAGGATTTGAATGGTTTTCTTTTTCAGAAACGACTCATTCAGGAGATTAAAATGGTGTGCAGGGTGCTGGTTCTTTATATTCCTTTGCCAATGTTTTGGGCTCTCTTTGACCAGCAGGTAAAAGGTTTTTATTCCTATCATTAACCCATTTACCCACCATTATTCACCATTAACTCATTCTAAAGGTATTCTGAATATTCATTAAGTCATTTTGTTTGTTGAAAAAAGATATTTTGAAGAAAGTCGAAAACAGGTAGCCGTTGACATCCATTGACATTTAATGGCTACCTGATTCAAATTTACACAATTGAAATTTAATAAATAAGACAGGTAAATGTCTTGATCGCTCATGTTAGCCGTGACATTTAATCCTGAAAATATCTGCTAGATATAAGGATTCCACCATACAATCTTTGAAAATATTAAGGATCAGAGAATTGCTGAATAATAATTAATTTTTTTTTCTCTTTGTTCTGTGCAAGGGGTCACGCTGGACTCTTCAAGCTACTCGAATGAATATGGATTTTGTAAGTGTTTTTTGTTGTTGACCTCTATTAGTAAGGTGTACAAGATGATTAGGATCATAAAATAACTATAACATCCCATTTAACAATATTATTTTAGATTCCAAGCAATCAAGTCATATTGCAAGAGAAATAAGATAACCTGATATCCTTGAAGTGGTCTGATGATATTTTTTGATAACACTATATAGGCTTTGACATCATCAAGATTGAATCCAAAGGTTATAAATTAAATCAAATCTATCATAAATGATTTTGATTGATGTTTTGCAGGGTGGAGGCTTCATAATAAAGCCTGATCAAATGCAGGTGAGCCAAACAACCGGAACACACCACACCACACACACTGGAGTTACAGCTAGTAGTTCATCATTGAATGTTATTTTACAAAAGACTGGTTGATATGCTGTCAGCTTTTTTAATTAATATAAAGACATACGTTTTCATACATTTGACCTTAATCACCTTAATTTGTAAAATATTTTTTGCTGATTTTTTTGTTTTTGTTTGCATTTATTGGTTTAAACCTTTTTTCATAATTCTGAAAATAGTTTTTTATTTCCAGATTAAAAACAAAAGAATATGAAAACATTCACTCTTTTATTATTTAAGAGGTTTCACTTTTAAAATTCTCTGGATAATTTACTTTGTATATACAGAATAAATAATGTTACTTATTTTTATATTTATATTTAATGAGATGTTATAATATCTAAACTAAAATCTTAGATAATACTTGTAATAAATGTAATACATTTAATAAAAGGGATTATAGGGGTTTATCTAAAATTATTTTTCTAAAGACAAAAATGTACTGCCTCCTGTTTTGCAATACTGTCATGAAAATAACCAGTCAGTTTATAACAGGTTGTAAAAAAATACTAAGCAACAAAATGTTATTGTTATCACCTTTATAATGAATGTCTTTTTTTTTTTGCATGTTATGGTTCTAGTGTCATTCAGTGGGTGTGTGTTTCTGTGTTGTTAAGATGCTGAATGCTTTGCTGATTCTGGTGTTTATTCCAATCTTTGACATGGGCATTTATCCACTTGTAGGCCTCTGTCGGATCAAACTCACGTGAGTGCTGTGAACAAAGCACACATTTCTGTAAAGAGCAAGAAAACAAATACAGTAAAAGTTCTCACTATAGCATCTTTGAGATATTTTTCTTTGTGGTAAAAAAGTAATATTACAAACAAAATGTTATTTCTAATGCATTTACAGTGGAAATCGTTGGATTAAAACATTGAACCATAGTGAAATATTCTAAATATAAGATAACATTTTAACATAACATTGTCTGGGTAAAGTTATATCCATTCCATTTCATCAATTTGTCTTCAATTTGTGCATTTTTAGTCCGCTAAAGAAGATGGCGACGGGCATGATTCTTGCTGCACTTGCCTTCTGTGCTGCAACTGCTGTTGAAGTTTACGTCATTGTATGTACATTTCTTAAAATGGACCCCGTTGTCTTTAAAGATTTTCTGTAGAACTGTTTAACAATGTCATTTAGAGCCTGTCAACATTAACTGAAATTGACATTTTCATTTCCTTGGCCAGAAAACCGTGGTGGAGCCTCCTCCTGCCAAAGAGAGCCTTGTTCAGGTTTACAATCTTATGGATTCAGATGTCACAGTGCAGTTTCCAGCACACAATGTCTTCTCAGAGCCACTTAAACCATATGAGGTAACATCACTAAAAATAAACATGTTTGTGCCACCATATTCAGAATTTTTCTACTGTATCTGCACTCACTACCAGTTTAATAGAGCTCAAACCAGGGCTATTAATTTGACAAAATCTTACTAAACTTGTTACAATGGTAGCCTTTTGATTAACATTATGAATTTGTGACTACTGATATAAAGTTGCACAATAAGCTGAATGATTGCAAAATAAAGTGGAGGTAAGGCTAAAAATCATAAAGCTGACGCTGTCAGAATTAGGTTTGTCAAAAGTACAGACTTCATTACCTATTGGTACTGAAATTGTAAAAACATCCATTTCCACTAACATTTAAGCACAGTTAAGTGGATTCATAAACACCACTGATTGACCATTGTGTGTTCAAGTGCTCAACATATATCCTAGATATATTCACTAGATATCGCATAGGGACCCAGAGCATGCGTCAATAGCGCCGGCACATTTGTACAGGGCTCCTAGGACAAATGTCATTCAACCGCACTAGTCAAGACAGTGTTACTATGTGAAGATGCTGGACTTTAGCGTTGTGTACGAGTGTAGTAACAAGCAAACAAAGAAAACAAAGCATAAAGGCAGAATATTTCATAGTTAAGATTTCATTTTTTACTTTTTTGTATGTTATAAAGTTTTGTGCTAAACAAGTAACGTTATTGATCATAATACAATCCCTTACTGCATTCACCATTCGGCAAAGTAGCACCAACTTGTGCTAAATACAACGGCTTATGCTAGTTTTGTTGAATAAATTCGGCAAACAATGCGACAGAAATATGACAACGAGACGCTGCAGTGTCAGAAACTTGTATTATTGTCGGCTAAGTGAACGAGTCGTTCATAATTGAGATTCATTCACAAACGAATCGCTCGCTCCGTCAGAATGAGAAGTGAAAGCAGGAGAGGAGGAGGTGTGTTTCAGGACACGGATTAGATCAAATTTAACAGGGAGGGTGGATAGTACATTTTCATACACACAAACACGGTTTTTGTCAGGAATGTCCGTGCAGTCACTTATCCATCAATGTAGAAAAGTGAAGTAAAATTGTAATTTTCGTAATTAAAAAAAAATAGCATACTGACCTCTGGGAAAACTCCCGATCAGAGATAAATGTGTATATGTATATATATTTGGCTCTGGATGGCCACAGTCCTTAACTGCACCTTGGTCCCGTATTCATTTCATAGGAGCGCTACCCTGTACTTAAATGGCGGCGCTATTGACACATTCCTTCTAATAGACAACAACAGAGTAGGGGACACCTAATGTATATATCTATGAACATATATGAATGAGCATAAGCACTTCACTCTCTCTAGTAACAATTACACTGATATGGAAGCGTTTAAAAGCCATGTCTACAAGCTGACCCATCAATGGATTGCTCATATATCTGCTTATAGATGGACAATCTTTGATAGATCTACAGTAGTTTTCAGACAATCCTGTGTTTGTGTAATTGCCAGTTATGACTGTGAAGTAATGATCACTATAGCGGGTAGTATAAACACAACCAGCTAGCTGGAAATGCTGGTATTATCATATTTTTTAAATTAAAAGTTAATACATTTGACACATCCCTAGTCAGACGGGCAGTTTTGTTAGTCATGTCTGAATTACATATGGTCTAATGGCAGACAAAAGTAACTGATGTCATCAAATACATTCTGTTAATGGAAGTGGTCAAATCCACTTAAAATCATATACTACCATGAAATATAATTGGGTAAACTGTCAGTGGGTGAAGTTACACAGACCAAAACAAAGTCAGACATTTGAAATGCACATTTTGTGGAATAATTAAATTTAGCATTGTTTTTCAGAATGCTCAATTAGCATATTTCTTAAATATCTGCAAACATACAATATTATGCTAGTTTTTTGCTTTAGAAGAATCAGAAGTTTACACTTCTGACAAGTTTAGACAAGTTTATAGCACTTTTAAGATAGCTAAAACCAATCAGTTACAAAAATGCTTGTTTAGCCATAATCAGGATCCTTAAAACATCTGTAGTAATAAATAAAATTATACGGTATACTCTGCAAAGCCAAAAGTCGCACTTTGGAATTTAAAAAAGCAAATCCCAGAGTTTCCACGCTTCTTGAAAATACTCACTTATAAAATATTTATATTGAAGTACTTCAATTTTAGACAACTTATATACAAGTCCTTGAAGCTAAGCAGGGCTGCGCCTGGTCAGTAACTGGATGGGAGACAAATAGGGAAAGCTAGGTTGCTGCTGGAAGTGGTGTTAGTGAGGCCAGCAGGGGGCACTCAACCTGTGGTCTGTGTGGGTCCTAACACCCCAGTATATTGATGGGGACTCAATACTTTAACGTTCGGATGAGATGTTAAAGCGAGGTCCCGACTCTCTGTGGTTATTAAAAATCCCAGGATGTAATTCGAAAAAGAGTACAGGTTCAATTCTAGCATCCTGGCCAAATTTAGCCACTGGCCTCTGTCTATCATGGCCTCCTAAACATCCTAATATCAAAATTGGCTTCATCACTCTGTCTCCTCTCCACCTATCAGCTAGTGTGTGGTGTGCGGTCTGGCGCAATATGGCTGTCGTTGTGTCATCCAGGTAGATGCTGCACACTGGTGGTGGTTGAGGAGATTCCACTTAATGTGTAAAGTGTATCTAGAAACACGCTATATAAATGTAATGTAATTAATTAATTAATTATTATTATTATTATTATTATTAATTGTCAAAAGCAGAATGAAAAAAATTATAAATTCTTAAATTAAAAAAACTTAAATTGAAATCTTGTGCAATAACAATAACATATAATGCACATTTTATCGATATTTCAGAAACTGCATTTAAATATTACCAGTATTGAATTTCGCAAATTTTATTAAAGTTCTTTGAACATGACAGTAAAAATCTCTAATTTTTAATGTAAATTTTAAGTGTGTCATGTTAAAAACAGTAACGACTTTCGTGACACTACATATACTGCGGTATAAATGACATGAAGTGCTTGATTTAATATTATTAGTGCTTTTAAAAAGTCCCTGAAAGTCCTTGAATCTGCTGTTTATGTAAGCCAGGGGTGTCCAAACTTGGTCCCGGAGGGTTGGTGTCCTGCAAAGTTTAGTTTCAACCCCAACCAGACACACCTTTGCTAGCTAATCAAGCTCTTATAGGCTTTCTAGAAACATCCTTGCAGGTGTGTTGAGGCGAGTTGGAGCTAAAATCTGCAGGACATCGGCCCTCCAGGACCGAGTTTGGACACCCCTGGTGTAAGCATTGGACCCCTGAAATTTGTAAAACTTTATAATGGATTGCTATTGCAGTGATTTATATGTTTCTGGCTTATTAGATACAGTATATGGCACATTGTTGACTGTCATGTCTAATTGCTGTTTCCACCATTGTATAAAAAGAAGTAACCCAACTGAGGCCATGCAGTATGTGATTTTTAGCACAGATAAAGGAACTATTCTCTATGTCCCATTCTAAAAGTCCTGTAACGCACAGCATCTAGTGAATTATTGCTTTGTTTTATTTACGTATAGTCACAACTGTTTTAAATCTACAGGAACCTTCGGGATACTCAAGTCTTCCTCTTACCGGAGAATCTCAGCTGCAGAATGTGGTTGTCAGTCACAATGGTATGAATTACCAGTGCAGACTCACGTTTACAGAGCGGATGGCTTACAGTCTCTTACTGCACCCTACTGCACAGCACAACGGCTCTGTATGCAATCTGGTGAGTGAGTGAGTGCCACGGTTAACAACATTCTATAAAATGCTATACATTACTGTTAACATTTATCATTGTTAACCAGGTAAAAGATCACATCACCAAGTCTGAAACCGGGGCTGCGTATATAAGGTACATTTAATGCTTAGAGAACAGTGTTTTATATTGTCCCAAGTTACTGGTTAACTGCTTTGTTAAACTTTAATGCAACTGTCCATCAATATCTTCAAGCCAACCTTTGACAAAACAACCCGGATCGTTCACTTTTGTCTTTAAATGTTTGTCCATCACAGGTTTATCAATACGCACACAGAAAATATCAACGTAACAGTTGGCACTGAGGAAGTTCATGCGTCTGCAAATTATGGGATTTCTCGCAATATAAGTGTACCAAGGGGAGAGTGAGTATTTTAATCCTACAATTGTACATTATCAATGTATAATTTCAAGCAACCGCTCACATTGATTGCAAGTTTGCTTGTCTTTCAGATATAATAAAGCTGTTTGTGTAACTGACACCAAAGAATATGAGATTAACCTGGGACTTCTTGATTTTGGTGCTTTCTACACAGTCATACTCTCAGAGGTGTGTGATCGAGTTCAGTTTAGTTAATGTTTTGTGCAGCTTGTACTTTACTGCAAAGTTGAAGATACAATTTAGGGCGTACTTCATAACACAATGAGAACTTGGCTGAAGTTTTTACGGGCAATTGCTTGTTAATCTTTGAGATTTAATGCTTGGAAAATATGTCGTTCATGTAACATTCAGTTCTCGATGTCAGTTTATCAAGATTTCTGTTCCACTTGCAATTAAACATGACCGTAACTGCTTAAAGGGATAGTTCACCCAAAAATGTAAAATTACACTAAGCATCAAATAGTTCCAAACCTTTATAGACCATTTCAATGTGGTGATGTCCTTGGCCCATGAACATTTCCTGCTTGTTTTAAAACTATTTTTAATGGTAAAAAGAGGTAATTCAATCATTACTTTAATGTTAAAAAAGCTATCATAACATTATTTATCAATGTGTGGCTCTTTTTGGATTCTCAGAAGCTGTAGATAATAAAAATGTAAAACAGGAAACACATTGGGGCAATTGATTTTGTTTACATCCCTCAAAATGGTCTATGAGTTTCTTTATTCTGTTGTAGTGAATTAGCTCAAAGGGAATTAAAGATTCATTTGAATGGGGCTTCAAAAATATTGAATCTTTAAATCCGAGCAAACAAATCATCCATCGAATTGTCATTAAACAGACAGTTGACTTCAATTACGACTGTAGCTATCAAAAACAAAAACCCATTTATGTTTAAGCAGGGTAGCAAGATTGAAGTTTAAGACATTAGATTCATAAACAGGCACCTTTCTTTATACAAAATTAAACTTTGAATAATCTAACAGAAACTAACACCTAACACAAACACACATTTATACAAATTTAGAGAAGAGTTAAGAATGTAAAATAAGAGTTTGAGAGGGTGTAATGATGGAAAAACCTCGGATTTTGTAAGACCACACCAATCGAACCAAAATAATCAATTTAACCCTTCTATAGTTTTTTTAGGGTTACATTTAGTTTACACCAGTTCAGTGGTAGTCTGCGTTCCTTTTGTGATGTGAAGAACTCTCTCTGTTGAGCACGTGTTTGGTGGTCGTCAGTTATTTGTCCTAACAAGGCTTGAAGTGGGGTCGAGTCTGGAACTTGAGGCAGCAAAAGTTTTTGGTTTTACAGCACATTAAACTTAACCAGACTCGTCGAAAAAAAAAAAAAAAGGTATCAGAGATGGGAATGTTTGAGCTGTGCTGTTCTCCTGGGGTTCCAGTTCTGGGTTCAAGTATTTCTCTGGTCTGGGCGGTGGCCTTAGGTCACAAGTTTTATAAGGATGGTTTTGTACCCACCCTCCGGAGCCGAGTTGACCAATGAGAAGTTAAGGGTTGGTAAGCATCGGAACCTCCCTTTAGTCTGCAACACTCAGGTCCTCACTTTCATCCGCGACACTTCGTGAACCGGTCACTTTTGGGTTGAGGGCAGTGTGACAGCCGTTTGCCTAGAGCGCCAGTTCGGCTTGCTCTGGCCCTGTGTTCAAGTTCAAGTAAATGATGACAGAATGAAAATTTTTGGGTGAGCTATCCCTCAAATAGGTTCTATCGTGTCATTAATAAGAGCTCACTTTTTTTCTGTAGAATGTTTGTTTTTGTGAGTTTGTGTGTTCAGCTGCCCTTGTTTGTTTTGATTTCTCCTCAAGTGTCTATCCCACTCACACACGAGTCTTAAATGAAAGTCAGAATCATTCTTGGCAATTCTGATGCATCCCCAGTTTGTAGTTTTAGATACTTGTTTAGTCAGGCAAGTCAAATTCTTACACATTGTCCATTGTCCAGCCCTGTGTATAAAATTCAACTGGCCAAAGTGGTTAGTGGGAGTTACTTGCCTTCTGAAATCCACCTGCGTTTGTAGGGTTGGCAGATGTTAATGTCAAGCCCTGTTTATACATATTGCTATTTTACAGTATCATCCATTTATACAAGATTAAAAATACCTTGTCAGTCCCACATTGTTAAATCAATATTTAATGAATGTCAATTAATCAGATAAAATATCAAACCAAGAGGCACTTATTTATAGCATGCAAATTCTATTTTGTCAATAGATTCTATTCAAACTATAGATAAAATCTGTATTTTAATAGAATTTCTTCATTGCTATTGCTATTTTTGCCCTTGAGTCCGAGTCATTTGATTTTGATAATCTACCGAAGCCTGATCTGATACTTTCAGAATACATAAAAAAGAATAAAGAGGAGCGAAGAAACAGGTCGAGGATTTTCCTTATTTTTTATTTATTCACCTTATTTTAACATTCAACAACTCTGTTAATAAACAGAGCACTTCTGTGAGGTAGCTTCAACAATCAACTAACAAATAACATCAATTCTTTACTTTTACTTTAGTGCAACAGTAAATATAAAAACAAACATCAACTTAAAATACCCTGCAGGCAGTCCCAAGTTTACATGTCTCACAGTTTGCTATGACTATGTTGTCGTCATCAACTTCAACTTAGCCGCAACACAATACTGGAAAACCCCCATTACTCCCACATTCACACACATACACTACAGCCATTTTAGTTTATTCAATTCACCTATCTCGCATGTCTTTGCTACCCACCGTGATGTTCTGGTCGTCAACCCCTCCCCCTCTTGTTCTTCAGTTTTTGATTGCTCACCACCCAGAATGTTTATTATATAAGAATGTTTAAGATCGTATCTAATGTCTGTATTCAGTTGTTTTAATTGCATATTTATTAATGAAATTTTTTTTTGCCAAGAAAATGGCCATTGTTGCTGACATGACATTAAATAAAAATATATGATTCATTTTTATTGTAATGGGGAAAAGCAGTTTTGACATGTTGATTGCATCAAAATGTTCCAATACTCATATTCAACTTTATGCAAATGCTGCATTATATGTCTGTATACATTCAGCTCAAATACTTTAAAACAATAAGCAAAAGCACTGAATTTCTGAAATTATTATCTTCATTTATTTCCACAGGCGGGCAATAATCTAGCGGTTAAAAAGATGGAGGACATCCAAGCCAACAACATTCACATCGGCTGGCAGATTCCACAGTACGTGTTCCTCACAGCCGGAGAAGTCATGTTCTCCATCACCGGTCTGGAGTTCTCCTACTCACAGGTACAGTAAGTCAATCATATATTGTACCTCAAGCTTGTGTGCATAAAACGTCTCACTTCTGTTCTTGTGCACGCAGGCACCGGCGAGCATGAAATCCGTTCTCCAGGCTGGATGGCTTATGACCGTGGCATTTGGAAATGTCATTGTCCTGATTGTGGCAGAAGGGGCTGGCATGGAACAGGTACATTTTGAGCTTTCTTCTAAACCGCTGTATGATTTATTGCATTGTCAAAGCACTTATTTGTTTATCTTTTGGTCAATCACCAGTGGGTGGAGTTTCTGCTTTTTGCTGCACTCTTGGTGGCGGTCAGCATCATCTTCTCCATCATGGCTTATTTCTACACCTATGTGGATCCAGATCAGCTAGACAAGCTTTTCAAAGAGGATGGAGATGGCGGGAAAGTGGAAAGTAGTAAGAAAGATGAGCTTTCTTTGGGTGATATGCCGAAGCAAACCAAGATGTAGCAAACTGATGTTCGGAGTTTTGAACTATTCAGATCTGTGAATAAGCTAATCGACTTTATTTTTTTCACATCGGACTGTGTATTTTCTTCTAGGGCCTTTATGTGGCATTATGCTGAGCTTTACTGATCAGGGATCAAATTCCAGCTGAATTAGGAGACATTTGTTGTGCTGCAGCAATGTAATGAACATGGTACCTTGCACAAAGAAATCATTTATAGAGATGTAATGCTTAAGAATGTGATGGACTTTACACTTCATATGTTTGGGGTTGGTAAGATTCAATGAAGTCTCTTATAATCTTCAAGACCATTTATTTGACTTATCAAAAGTAAGACAGCATTGCTCTCATAAATGAACTGGTTCAGTATAATTGATCATAAGTTACATCATGTGTAAAATGAAATTCTGCTGATTTCAAAGCTGAATATTAATCCTTGTGAACAGTGATCCTTCAAAATCATTTCGATATGCTGATTTGGTGCTTAAACATTTCTTGTTATTCTTGGTGAAAATAGTTGTGCTGCTTTAATATTTTCGTCAAAACCACTATTCTTTTTTTTCTGTATACTTTAAAAATAGAAAGTTATTTTCTTTGCCACAATGTAAAAGCTTGTGCTGCCACTTTGATCAATTAATATTCATTTATTAGAAAAAAAAAGAAAAACAAAAGTCTTACTGATCCCAAACACTTGCACATATACACTTTAGAAATATCAGTCAATAACTATTATTCCAGTAATGCCTATTTGCACAAGTCAAAGCTCACGTATGTATATAATGCCTGTCAGTCTTGCTCTGTTCAGAGGGTACTCCTTTTCTAGATGACAGTTTATTAAAACAGACTGCTCTGGTTTCATGTATTAAGTCGAAAGGCTGGTGAATGTTGTCAGGGATGGAGTGATTCATGACACTCTTTGAAATAAACTTGTATATATTTGTAACACAATTATTGTGTACATAATTACACCAGAACTGATTTCTGAACCATTTGATCCAACTTTTATTATTGTTATTTTTTTACTCAGACCATTGACAAAGTTCTCTCTGCCTCTCCTCTCTCTCTCTCTCTCACACTCACTCACTCACTCACTCACTCACTCACTCACTCACTCACTCACTCACTCACTCACTCACTCGTGAAAATAGAGGTACTATTTATAGGCTTTGTATTATGAAATAATCACTTAAAGCGACATTTATTGTTATGTTACTAGAATTCTTAGTGTATAATATAGTTTTGTAAGAAAAATCCACAGTCACTATATTTTGATGGTCCGTTTGTTAAATTTAAGTTACATTGCATCTACATGCCAACTAATTCTCATTAGATTATTAGTAGACTGGTAGGTTGAGTTTGGGGTTAGTGTAAATTTGACATGTACTTGCAAAGTTTCTTATAGTCAGTTAAATGTCTTTTGAAAGAGCAGAATCAACAGATATTAAGCAGACAGTCTACTAATACTCAAATGGACCATCAAAATAAAGTGTTACCAAATCCACATTCAGTCAAAAAGTACATTTTATATGTAAAAGACACATTTTTTTACGCTGACCTGCCAAAGCAAACTAAGATCTAGAAAAATGTTTCTTTTTGAACAGTTTAGGGCCTTTAATTGCAAATTTGCTAATCAACTTTTTTTATTATTATTGAACTGTTTGACTCCAAAAAAAGCATAAATATATTTATTTTTCCTCGATTCACGTGATTGGTTTGGGCCGGGTGCGTCTGGCCAAGCTTCTCTGTTCAGGTGATTTCATGTAATTTGTGACTGATGTGGGATGGTAAGGTGACGCTCTCCACATGTATCAAAACCATAGAGCAAACAGACGGCAAAATGGGAAAATGTAAGTTTACGTACTCCTGGTTGGAAAGAGGAGTTTAAACAGAGGCTGAAGCCTGACGCTGAAAACAGCTCCGTAATTTATTCTTTCAAGCTTTGTTTATTCCGAGCTTATCTGAGTCCTATTACACAGTTGTGCTCCACTGATTTAACTACATCAGTTTATTAACAACTGTTTATTAACAGAAAGGTATGATACTGATTAGAACTTGAAGTGACGATGAGGTTTTAAAATATTCTTCTAAAGTCCTAAAAACGTATTTAAATTACCTTTAGGATTCTTGCATATGTCCTGTTTGTTAGCTGTGCTATAATGTTCCTGAGCTTTATGTGGCATTATTTTGACATCTAAAGATCCGAGATTATATTCCAGCCGAATCATGAACTTTATTACAATTCCCTTTAATACTAATACTTTAATAGCAAATTTCTACCCCCAAAATTGTCTGGAAGAGTCAAAATCTCTTTATTTTTAATTTTTTTTTTGTGAGGAAAATGTTTATCCCTGTAAAGTCTGACATGATTATTGGAAAAAATATAGTTCAAGTGGAAGCTTTAGCCCTTATCAACAAGTCTTTCTTTTCAAGTTTTCTTTCTTTCTTTCTTTCTTTCTTTCTTACATTAGGCTTTTTAAGCTCATATAGTTATTCTTGATTATTGATACTATATGAGCTTTAAAAGCCAAAAAAAGCTGAAAAAAATAAAAGAATGAAATTATTATTTTACTTGCTTAAAGTATGGACTATCTGGAAGACGAATTAAAACATGTAGTAAACCTGTGCAAAAGGTTAAAACAAATGATGACACAGTAGACATTATATGGTAAATACATGCACAATGTGAATATACACCTTCTAATCTCACCAAAATGATTGAGTTTTTAATCTATATAAAGTAGCATTTACATGACAAATCAAGAGTGAAGTTCTCTTTGCCGGCACATGATTAGCCTTGTAACCAGAGCGATGACATCAGGGTGAACCAGGCACTCCAGCACATCATTGGTGGAGATGTGCATTTCACCACTTCCTCCTGGATTTTCTGTGTCCTGAAGCACAGACTGACCTGATCTTTGGCCAAGTTTATTATCGCTTCTCAGTTTGTCTTGATCTTTAGTTGTAATCTGGCACTGTGGGGAATCAGTGCAGCTGAAACAACATGAGTCCTTTGTGCTGCTGCATTGAGGTTTCTCAGTTAAATGAACAGGAATGAGATGAGGGCCGAAAGAAACCAAGGAAGGAGGAGACGCTGGACTCTTTAACACTCCACTGAAGTCACGTTTTACAGCCTCTGCTTTAGGCTGATCTTCAATATCGTCTCTCTTCTTGTTCATACAGACCTTTACTGCCAGGTTCAAATACTGCATGTTTTCATCATGAGAAGAAACTCCATCCTAGGGCACACACAACAGTGACGATGGCATGATGTAGTTAAGCAATTCCCAATTTCATTTTTGTACTAAAATAAAATCCACCTTTGTAATTTCAACACTTTTTCTGACCCATTTCTCACACACAGCTATCATAAAGGCTTCAGATTGTTCATTACAACTAGACCCTGTTAACTTGTTAATGATTTGTTTTCACTAAAGGGTTTCATAGATTTTTTTTTTTAATCTGTGTACTTCACCGCAGTACCATTTTCATCTCATACAGTGCATTCGGAAAGTATTCATAGTGCTTAACTTTTCCTACATTTTTTTTATGTTACAGCCTTATTCCAAAATGATTAAATGTATTTATTTCCTCAACATTCCACACACAATACTCCATAATGACAATGTGAAAAAAAGATTTTTTGAAATTGCTGCAAATTCATTAAAAATAAAAAAGCAGAAAAATCACATGTACATAGGTAATCACAGCCTTTGGCGTAAAGCTCTAAATTGAGCTCAGGTACATTCTGTTTCCACTGATCATTCTTGAGCTGTTTCAGCAGGTTAATTGGAGTTCACCTGTGGTAAATTCAGTTGATTGGACATGATTTGAAAAGGCATACACCTGTCAATATAAGCTCCCAGGGTTGACAGTGCATGTCAAGGCCAGAGCCCAGAATAAATCCTATTGAACATTTCTGAAGAGATCTGAAAATGGCTGTACACCATCTCTTCCCATCCAACCTGATAGAGCTTGTAAGGTACGGCAAAGAGGAATGGGCAAAAATCCCCAAAGACAGGTGCCCCAAGCGCTATGAATACTTTCTGCATGCACTGCATTATCTTGTTCAAATCTCTTGTGACCATTTTATTCCTTTTTATTTGTACCTACATCTTTTTTCAGAAGCGCTCAGTGTGACACATGAGTATTACTAAATGAACTAACCCACAGTACACGGCTAACAGGTAAATAAAAGAATGAAATAGATGTGAATGACACATGATTTTGATCATAATCCATCTGTTTTGGTACCACACAGTCACATTCTGAGTTAGCATGGCGTATGTATTACACATTTACATGTTATTTTTCTTTATTATAATTATAACTATTAGAAAAAAAAAGAGGTAGAATTTAAGGCTGCCTGGATTTATTAGGTATGAGTTTGAGTAAAAATTACAGTTCAGCAAGTATTAAGTTCTCATACATTTCTTAAGGTAAAACATTTATAACGGTCTCCAACATCAATTGGTTAAGATGGAGCTGTTTTGACAGGAGCAGTTATGTTTTACGACACATCCAAGCAGTTACAGTTGAAGTCTGAATTATTAGCCCCCCTGTTTATTTTTTCCCCCAATTTCTGTTTAAATGAGAGATTTTTTCTTAAAGACATTTCTAATAGTTTTAATAACTCATTTCTATTAACCATTTTATTTTAATCATTGCCATGATGACAGAAAAATAATATTTTACTAGATATTTTTCAAGACACTTTTATACAGCTTAAAGTGACATTTAAAAGCTTAACTAGGTTAATTTGGTTAACTAGGCAGGTAAAATCTGCAGACTTTTTTTTTTTTTTTTTTTTTTTTTTGCTATTTCTGCGCAGAATTTTGCAAACAATATGAATTTAAGCAGAAGGACTTTGAAAGTATTTTAATTAAAAACTTAATATATGAGATAAAACGTAATACATTTTTAACTTGTATTTAATGTTTGCAATTCAAAACCAATGAGATTTACTTATTAAGTAATCAAACCAAGTCTCTCATATAATATATCTACTAAATGACCGAAAATATTACTCTATAAACTATATTGTAATTAAGTCATATGAACATTTTCATATTAGTCAATAATGTTACTAAAATTATTTTTATAACTGAATAAATATAAATTTACAGACATTTACACAAGTAATATATAGACTTGGGCTAAAAATATCCGAAAATCTGTGGATTTCTGCGTGCACAGATTCCGTGTGGGCCAACACAAAACTAAAAACAACAACAAAAAGTGAAAGTACAATAGTTTTGTTTCCTAGATTGAAAAGAAATTAACATTCATGTTCAGCAAATAAATTAAAATAAATATATTTTGTTACTAATAAATGTTGTCACTTTTAATCAATTTGATGCATTTTTGCTGAACAAGATTGATGAATATCTCTCAAAGTTGGAAAAAAAACTTGAATTAATTTAATCTAAAATAATTCTGCTAAAAAATATAGACTGATGTCAGTGTAATTTTTTAAACTAATCAGTCTAATCAATTAGAAATGTAATTTATTAATGTCCAGAAACATTATTTGAACAACGGCACAGTGTGAAAGTCAGTTAGGCAGAACTTTTGAGTGCTTTACATAGACTTAAGAACTGTGAATCTCCTCTTGTTTGTTTGTTTGTTTGTGTGTGTGTGTGTGTGTGTGTGTTCGTGTGCACATGCTTGTTTATGTGGTTTACAAGGACACAAAATGTTTAACGACAAAGGTATGACCTACTGTAATTGTACTCTTATGTTAAGGGGATTTACAAGATTGTGTCGTCCTCATTCAAAAAGCTTGAAAATGATATTTAATGTGGCCTTGAAACGTTTGTTATAGGATTCCTCTGAGGGTTGTGCTGGTGTACTGGTGGGGTAAGGCCATATAGCAAGCCATTTTACAGTATAAAATACATTATGCCTATGGAGTGACCTCGTAAACCATACAGTTGAAATCAGAATTATTAGCCCTCCTGATTTACAAGCCTGTACAGTATATATTTCA